GTTGGGGGCAATATGCTGACTCTCTGTAAACCGCTTAGAGAGGGCTGAAAGCCCTATGAAGCGGTATATAAGTCTATTGCTATTGCTATTGCTATCTATTCTATTCCATTCCATATTCTATTCTATTCTCCATTATTCTATTCCATTCCATTCTTTCTCTATTCTATTCTATTCCTTTTTCTTTTCCATTCCATTCCATTTTCTATTCTATTCTATTCTCCATTATTCTATTCTATTCCATTTCATTCCATTCTTTCTCTATTCTATTCCATTCCATTCTCTATTCTATTCTATTCTCCATTCTCTATTCTATTCTATTCCATTCCATATTCTATTCTGTTCTCCATTATTCTATTCCATTCCATTCTATTCTTAAAACAATACGACTCTTTGCAACTCTTCCAACATCCAAAGTTGGCCCAGCGCTCTTTCTAGGCATTGTACAGTTGATGTAACCCAGTTCCTAATCGTCTTAGCCTACTATGACTTGAAACGTCTTTGTGTAATATCGTAAAAACTTTCTTTTAGATATGCTGGCCAGGTTGGCTACATGATTGCTGGAATGAGAGAGATTATGGATGCTCAAATAGGGGATACGGTGTATTCGCATAATCAGCCGGTGGAACCGTTTCCTGGGTTTAAATCCGCAAAACCAATGGTCTTTGCAGGTAAGGGGGGGGGCACTGGTCAAAAGACTTGGGGGGGACGGGGGGAGGGTTTAGGTCAGGTTTGACTCCTAGTGGCTGCCTGGACTAGTTCTTGCAGTTTTCTTGGCACAAATTTTTAGAAGTGGTTTGCTGTTAAATTCTTTGAAAAGCTGACAAAGAGAGGACCGGCCCATAGATTTCCACTGCTCTCCTCTCCTCTGCCTTCTGTGCATCCATGCGTCAGGCACTGGACCCAGCTGTTCTTCCTCTTCCTCATCAGCCCCCTCCAGACCTGGGGGCTGTTGACTCTCCAGCTGAGGGATGACAGGCAGCCCAGGCTCCGCCTCTCTCTCTCTCTGCCAGCTCTATTCCCTCCTCCCCCTCGGAGCTCTCAGGTTGCCTCGATGCTGACGCGGACTCCCACACCTTCTCACCTGATTCGGCTGGCAACAAGCCACAACATCGCTTTTCTGGCTAAACGCCACCTTCTCTTTGGACAGGAGTGTTTCCAACGGACCAGTCCGAATATTCTAACTTGAAGGGAGCCCTGGAAAAGCTGACCCTCAATGACTCCAGTGTGACCGTTCAGCGGGATAACAGCCTGGCGTTGGGGGCCGGGTGGAGGTGAGTTACCCCTGCATTCGTCGCTCCAGGCAGTCCTCGATTTAACAACAGTTCACTTTGCGACCCTTCGAAAGTCACAATGGCACTGAAACCAGTGGCTTACGACCACTGTTCACACTTAATGACCGTTAAAACCTCTCCGTGGTCAGCTGATCAAAATTCGTTTGGCTTGGAGATTGAAGAATGTTTCGTTTAGCGAAATTGCAAGGTTGGTACCCTTTAAGAGCCAAGGTGGCGCAGTGGTTAAATGCAGCACTGCAGGCTGACTGCTAGATCAGCAGTTCAGCGGTTCAAATCTCACCGGCTCAGGGT